ATTCCCAGCACACAGCGTTTTTTTTTTTTTTTTTTTTTTTTTGCATTAACCATACCGCAGGTTTTTTTCTTGGTTGTATTTTACCAGAAACCATGAGGCTTGTATACCCTCCGTCGTGTGATCTTTGTTTCCTTACTTTTCAGATCTCTCCATCCACTGCATTTTATTTCATTCACTCACACAATAAAATTAATATTGATTTTCTGGAGGAGTTTATCAATGCGGAAAAATAATAGAGATGAACCGTTCAACGTAAGGTTAACATTTGAATCGTGCAAAAGAATTAAAACCTGCCCCAAATTCAGATCTGACTTGAAAAATAGCTTACTTTTTTAAACGTCCCTCTAAACCAAGGTCTTCCAATTAAAACGATTCATTTACTTGTAGAATAGTGTGTGTGTGTGTGTGTGTGTGTGTGTGTGTGGCGAAGTGCACATTCAGTTTTTGTGAAATTCAGTTTTTCATAAATACTTTATGCTGTTACTGCCACGTGTATATTGAATTAATGACACTCTTTGAATTTTAGGTCGCTGCGGACCTGACGGTGTGTACGCCAGATCTGCCAGCTCTCTGGTCTTCTGTTCCAACGGCCGTGCTCTGGTCCAGAACTGCGCTCCAGGATCTGCTATCAGCAAGATGCAACTAGGAAAATACTACTCCATGGCCGTCTGTGACGTCAACCTTGTTAATTGGGGCTAATCTCACCGCTGGGTAAGTCAGTGTTGTTTGTTATAAATATTTTTACTAAATTGCTTACAGTGTCTTTACTGGTAGTCGCAAGGCAGATGTCTTTTTGGGTTACTATTGCGAATTTATTACGAATTTTTGTTGATGGGTATAAATTCCGTAACTTGTTTGCTGGAGAAAAAACTCAGTGTCTGCTTGGGCATAATACAAAGAATTTGACAATAAAAAATACCTGTGGTGATTCGCGACATGGTAAGATACGGCCCACAGGAACACTCACTTTAAAACAGTTGGAGCAATTCAGATAGATGTATAATATTATACAATATTCACTAAACCTTCATCTCTTTGCTTTCTGTTCAAACAGCGCACTACAAATATGATGAATATAAAATAATTATGATATATATATATATATATATAACACTGAAATATATTATCAAACTTGAACGTATCAAATGCATTTTAAGTTTCTAAATTTCGTCCATACTCATATAGTGTATCTATAGTAGGCAAAGCTTTTATCTTCGAATTTCCTCCCTTTAAGTATATTTGAATATCCGTTCATCGTAAATTCGTTTAAAATTACATTGCATTACAGTCAAGGCACTTTCTATGAAATACAAAAAGCCTAATGGATATACTTTTGCTTATATATTTTTCAGATGAAATCTTTCCCGGCCAGAAAAGCGGTTCTCGTGGAATTTTCAAATTTGACGCATTATGGTCACGTTCAAAATAAAAAAAATTGTTTAAAATAAGTCTTGCTTTATTTGTGGAACTTATGAATGTTTTCCAAACGATAAGTGGAGATTTGTTGAAACAAATTCTCTCTCTCTCTCTCTCTCTCTCTCTCTCTCTCTCTTTTACACACACTCAGAGAAAACACACAAAAATGCATTGGCGTGCGCGAGAGGACTCGCTTTACTAGCATAATAGTCACAGGCGATAACTAAAACTAAACACACGCAGCATTATTTCAGAATCTCGTTAACTCGTGTTACACATGTAAAGGAAAAACACAGTGCACAGATGACCCCCTCCCCCTCCACTATAAAACATTGTTTCAGTTTTGACCTATGTCGCGTTGTAGGACTTTATTCTACAATGCACGATTGATGTTATAATAACATCCGCCCCGGTAAAAACGCCAGTAAAGTTAATAGTGCCAATGTAATTACAATATATTTTCTGCTAAATCATCAAAAACTGTGTATTTGCGTGTCACTGTACATTGAACAACAAAGAGGTAATTGTCAGATTGGTCTTAAACGTCATGGTCATTGGTGCACGAATATTACTCATCTCGTCACAACGTTATGGTTAGTAGAGTTGGGGAGGGGTTCTCAACTGTTCTTATCCAGTTTCTATGGTGCCAGTTACTATTATAGATCTCTACGAAATATTATAGATATATAGAATATTATAGATTTCTCAGTGGAAAGATACAAATGGGTGAGAAGAAATCATAAAGTGAAATTACAAAAACCGTAAATAAAACAAAACTTCAACCTTGAAAATTATTTATTACAGCTGACCAAGGTTTATAAATATAGTGTTAGCTCGGTGCTCTAATTCAGCGATTTTATTTATTTTCACTACTGCTGTACTGCATTTGTTGACCTGCATATCGCAAACCATATCTATGCCAAAATTCCTTATTAAACAGAGCAAAACGGACAAACACGCGATTGGGCAACAACATTCAAATGAACGATGATTGTTTTTTTACAATAAAAAAGGGCTTGCCACGGACACTATAAAAAGGCCACCCACCGACATGCACGGCTATCAGTTGTTTTATATCTGATCTTGTCCATCCATACCTCGACCATGAAGTTTGCTTTGTTTCTGCTGGTTGCCCTCGTGGCTGTCGCTTACGTCAGCGCGGTTTACTCAGACCGAAGGGAATACGTACGGTATGTTTGATATCTTAATAATTATTAATTATAATAAATATATTTAAAAAGTAAAGTAAAAAAATGGATACATTGTTAAATTGATTGTTTAATGTGCTTTTTAAATTTTCATCAGTATTTTCTCTTCTTAATCTCTTTTGTTATCACGTAAAACACTTTATGTTTTTTTTTTTGTTTGTTTGTTT